TGTGGTGAGCCACTTCTGCCATTTCTGCAGACTATGGTCACCATTACAAGATGGCGCTGGCTCCGCTCTGGTCTGTGACAAACAACTCCTTATTTGGGAGAGTTGGCACATGATTTTTCACCACCCTATGAGAAATCTCCACGTGGCAGCTTTGCATTGGGGTTTGAGATGCTTTATTAAGGCTGGGAGGGGCATCCGAGAGGGAGATGAAGAAATATCAAGGGCCTGAATAAACTGCTGAAAGAAGATTCCTGAGTTGCATCTTCCTTGCGGGCAAGGGGTCACGACAAGTGGTGCCGAGACCCGGGAACCAGAACTTTCAGCAGTCAGGGGTGGTGCACCGGTTAGTCCCAGGTAAGTGGGATCCGCGACCAAAGCGGGGTTAGTCCCAATAAGTGGGATCCGCGATCAAAGCAGGGTTAGTCCCAGGTAAGTGGGATCCGCGACCAAAGCGGGGCAGCTCCTCTGTAAAGAAAGAGAGAGCATTACATTTTATTGCAGCTGCACTGTGTACTTTCGCTTCTACTTTCGCTTTTGTTTTCTGTGTTTCTTTTGTTGTGTCATTTCGCTTTTGTTTTTTGTGCTTCTTTTGTTGTTGTGACGACAGGGACGCTCCCCTGTAAAAGGAAGAGAGCGGGGAATTCATAGAACGAACGCTCCCCTGTAAAAGGAAGAGAGCGGGGACTTTTGTACTTTCACTTTCTTTATAGCTCTAAAAACATTATGGGCGTTGCTTCTTCAAGCCCAATTTTGTTGGCCCCAAATGGGTTGTTACATTCAAAAGGACTTAGTATAAAGCAGAGTACTTTGCAGATGTTTTTAAGAGAAGCTGATATAGCGGCTCCTTGGTTTGCTTTTTCAGGGAGTCTTACGGTTCCCAGCTGGGACAAATTAGGGAAATATCTAGATTTTGCTCATGAGCAAGGTACCTTGCAGGGTGGCATTATACCACTTTGGAAGTTAGTTAGAGGATGTATAACAGATGGTAAATGCCAGGAAGATGTGAGTGAGGGTCAAGCTATTCTTTAGCAACTGCATGAGGAAAAATCTGAAGGATCATGTAGTGAAGTGGCAGAGAGTATTAAGAGTAAGAGTAGTGAGAAGGCAAAAGAGCCTGAAGATAAAAATAGGAGAAGGCTCTATCCAGACTTGACCGAATTCAGAACGCCTGAGAACACAAGCGACTCAGACAGTTCTGAGGACCTTGATATATTGTTACAACAACTACATAAGATAAAAATGAAAAAGAAGAAAAAGGAGACACAAGGCACACAGGCCTACTGTAAGAAGGGGAAGGGAGTTAACATCGGTCAACAAAACTCTGAGGAGGAGGAGGTAGAATATCTAGAAGAAGATATGGTGCCGATTGCCCCACCTCCGTATGTGGGGGGGAGCCAAGGTTCCGGGAGATCTTTTCATGCACAAGTTTGGAGGACAGTTAATACAGATATGGGACTTGCATACCCTGTATTTCAGGACAATAACAGGGGAAGATATCATGAGCCTTTAGACTTTAAGAGAGTTAAAACCTTGGCAGAATCTGTCCGCACTTATGGCATAGATGCCGCTTTCACTCTCACTCAGGTGGAGGGACTTACTAGATTTTGCATGACTCCCTCAGATTGGGCTAGTCTAGTCCGCGCTTGTGTTTCCCCAGGGAAATATTAGGAGTCCAAAGTTGGCTGTTTAATGTTTCTGGCAGTACCCAAGACTCGGAGCGAGGTAGGAGGCTTAAAATTTCTGCAAATAATTCACAATTATCTAATGCTACATTACCTTCCGCAGCAGTCTGTCTCCAATCTCCGTTCCTGTTTATTTTGGCTAATGATACATCACAGGGAATGCTTAATTGTTCTAATGTTACCTGCTACTTATCTGAGTGTTGGAATGGCTCCTCGACTACGGCAGTGGTTATGAAAATTCCAACTTTTGTCCCGATCCCGGTTACTGCGGATCCAGAGTCCTTTCCTATTGTTGGACTGATTAGAGCCCGTAGAGATTTTGGAATTACAGCAGCTATAGTGACAGCTGTGGCGGTATCTGCTGCTGCAGCAGTTACAGCTGGAGTAGCCATGGCCAGCCAAGTACAAACTGCTGCCACTATTAATCAGGTTATTCAACAAACATCCACCATACTTGAATCTCAAAGTAAAATTAATCAACACATTTTATCTGGGATTCTGGCTGCTAATCAAAGGATAGATCTGCTTCAAGCTCAAGTTGAGGAATTGTCTGACCTAGTACATTTGGGTTGTATTGATCAACGTGCACATTTATGTATAACCTCTGTCAGATTTTATGATTCCAGAAATGCCTCCCGCATCATCGGAGAGTATCTATCCGGAACCTGGTCCATGGAAGCAGAAAACTTGATCCAGTCTCAACTAACTCAGATTGCTGTTCTGAATAGCACCCGTGTCGAACCAGTGACTTTGGGTCAATTCACCAGTTGGCTATCCTCTGCCTTTTCCTTCTTTAAGGAATGGGTGGGAGTGGGCATTTTTGGTGCAATGTGTTGCTTCGGTATGTTCCTCTGTTTGTGGTTTCTCTGTCGCCTTAAGGCCCGCAGTGCTCACGATAAGGCTATGATCATACAAGCTCTTGCAGCTTTAGAAAATGGCAACTCGCCTCAAGTCTGGCTTGCGCATCTTAAACAGTAAACCTTTGACATGGTCGTTACACCCCAAGTTATTATAACATTGCACTGGGATCGACATGACTTTCCTTGTCATTCTCTTAGTGTTGGAAAGCCCTTGCACTCTGCCGGTCTTACTGCCATTGCACGCAGATGGGTTTCCACACTAGTGCTTTTCTATCGCCTTAAAGTCCGTGCCTTTCTTTCAGGGTGCTGTCAACTTGTTTGTCGTTATAAACAGCCACAGTTCAGCCTCAGCTATCCCCCTTCGTCCACCATCATCACGATACAGGATGCGAGGCAAGGCACTGCACTTGAGTGATCCTTGACGTGGACCTCAAGGAGAGCATGTCCTATTGCATGCGGGTTAGACGCGTCCACGCCCCACCCCACGAAAAAAGGCGTCGGCTGATATGGCCTCAGATCTGGGGAAGGGCCCTCCTTAGGACTGAGCCATACTATGCAGCCACTTCTGCACAGTGGGATAGGACCTCTACTCTCGCCTGTATTGTTTTAAGTACACAGAAAGGGGGAACTGTGGTGAGCCGCTTCTGCCGTTTCTGCAGACTATGGTCGCCATTACAAGATGGCGCTGGCTCCGCTCTGGTCTGTGACAAACAACTCCTTATTTGGGAGAGTTGGCACATGATTTTTCACCACCCTATGAGAAATCTCCACGTGGAAGCTTTGCATTGGGGCTTGAGATGCTTTATTAAGGCTGGGAGGGGCATCCGAGAGGGAGATGAAGAAATATCAAGGGCCTGAATAAACTGCTGAAAGAAGATTCCTGAGTTGCGTCTTCCTTGCGGGCAAGGGGTCGCGACAATAGGGTATGCTCATTAAGCAAAACAAATAGGAGTTCATGGAAAAGGACTTTTTCACTCATATTTTCCTTACTGTCTTTTTTCTGGAAACAAACAGAAGGCATCTGTCTTCAAAATTGCTTTCACCATAGTTTACTACAATTTTCTAATCCCAATATTGGACTGCAGGATCCTCTTTTGTGGGAGCCAGTGTTGAGGGTCTTCTGCTTCCAAACAGAGGCCTCACAAGCCATGTGGAATGTGGATGATCCATGCCATGTCTTGGGAGCTGCATGGCTTACACAGTTGCTTTCCAAAGGAGTCAACCTGATGTGATCTAAAAGGTCCTGTATTATATAAATTCTGATTTTCTTTTAAATTGGCCATCTTTATTCAGCTCAGCTAGTGTGCTGCTCCTAATGGTATCTGCATTAATACCAGTGAAACAGACTACTTCAGGATTTTTTGTATAAAAAGCCCAACCATCTTAAATAGGTTAATATACCAGTGGATTAAAAGGCCCTATTCTTATAGCTTTATGACTCTAATTAGCTTGAATGCTTAAAATGGATTTAAGTTATAAACCATGATGTTTTGTTGCAGTAAATGGTACTGTGTATGTGCATCAAATCACTGTACCAGTGTGAAGTAAATGTATGGATACTTAGATCAAGACAGCAGAGGCATGGGTGAGAAATTCTACACATCAAGAAAGAGCTGAAAGACCTGTGTTTGTGCCTGGAGCTGGGATTGTGACTCAATGGTAGAACACTTGCTTAGCATGTTTGAGGCACAGGGTTTCATCTAAGCACTGCATACAAACAAAATAAACACAATAAAGACCCATCAACATCCAAAAATGTATATAAATAAAGAAAGTGCTTCAGTACTTTCTCAGAATTAGTGTATGCAGTTTTAAGAAAATAAGAACAAAATGAAATGTTTCACCCCTTGTAGAAAAGCTATTACCTTCAATAAAGTGCTGCTTATAAATTTATTTCTTCTTTGTTATCCTGTGAGGAAATTACAACATGTTAAAATTTCAGTTGTATGTTATCAGCCAAAAGATTGATTGAATATCAGAGTTTTTCTTCCTATGCAAAAATCACCACCCTTACTGCTATTGTAGGAGAAATTAATAAACACAGAAAGCTTGGCTATTCTCACAAAGTTTATGTAAATATGTTACTATAAATTAATTTATATAATCAATTATGATTTGCTATGAATACAGATGTCTTGTTACCATTTGGAACACATGAAGAGGTGATGAATTGATTGCTATTTCAGTTTCAAGAGAAACATTTCCTATAAGGGTGTCTGTATTTTGTCAAGAAGATAAAACAAGAACAGTAAGGACTTATTGATTCCTGATCCATGCAAAAATAACTGAGAAAGAAGGGTGATATCACTTAGAAAATGTACACAAGTCTATAAACCACTTTAAAAAAATCATATTAAAAATACATACAAACAACTACAGATCCAGTTAAGACAAAATTAGCTACTCCAGGAAATAAAACTACAGGAGATATCACAATATCAATACTTGAGAAATAGTGCCACTTGTTATCTGATCATATCACTCACTGAAACATTACCCAGGAGAGTCAGAGCCAGTATAAACACTCCCAGAACCATTTAGAGCACACTATTCTTTAAGACCTCAGAAGTAAATGTTAGCTAGAACGTACTGACATACTAAAATTGTTTATTTTCACAAAGGTGAACCAATATATTCTGCTTTACAACTCTCTTGGCAGGCCAGAGAACAGGTTAAATTTATTATCTACAGCACCATAATGCTCACAAAGAGCTCTGTATTATTCATAAGACTGCATATAAATTATTAAAAAAATATATTTTTTTTTCCAGTTTGTAACATTGTTTTATACATATCAATACATTATGTTGTGGCCAGCAAAGTACATATTATTACTGACAGCTGTTGACATGATTCAATAAAGCCCCAAGGGGTTTCACTGATAATCCTAAATCACAACTACTTTTCCAAATAAAAAGCCACTTCTATCTCTCACAATATTTAGAGGAGGTTTGCAGAAATGTCAGTGGTACATAAGGAAGAAACTTGGGCAGAAGCCCCAAGAAACCAGTGTAATTTTCTAAGTTTAGTGGGGAGGAGAGGTGGTCCTGTGTATTAAAAAATAAGCCCTCTGTAGAAAATGGGGTCTCTCATGTGAAGATTAATAAGTCTAATTTTGGAAAGAGAGTTTTGTCAGACTTTGCTAGTATTTTATTTGGTTTCTTATCTTTCTCTTCCTGTGTCAGATGGTGAAGTGCCTAAGTTTAAAACCACATTTTGAGATGAATGTCCTTAAAAAAGTTTAGAGATTTTTCTATTGACTTAGAATTCCTCTGCAGTTTTCAATTTTGCAAGTCATATTAAAATAGGCAGACTGCATAACCAAATGTTATTCGGATGTCTTCAAATAAATTTAATAATTTCTTTTTTTATTCCATGTACAAAGGAATAATTTAATTACAATGAATAAAAGATAAGTTGAGAGTAGTTGGTTCTTTTCATAAAGCAAAATTTTTTAGACATCAAGAACTCCTTGAATACAATTTTGAGCTGAAATATGGGTGGACTCCTCCTGCCCCATCTGGCCCCAGCGCACCTCTGGCACACATGTCTACCCAGAAAGTTAAGTCACGGGTGAGCGACCTTGGAGCCTCTGAGGCCCCGCCCCCGATCCCCGCCCCTGGCTCCGGCTCCCCGCCCCAGGCTCCCGCCCCCACCGCTGCTGGCCAGGCTCCCATCCGCGGCCTGGCCTGCTCTGCGGGAGCCTCAGCCGCCCTGCCCGCTGCAGCTCCTGTTGTGCAGCGCCCCTTGGCGCTGACAAGGGCGGCTGTCTGCGGGGCGGGGCTCCCCTCCTCCTCCTTCTCCTCCTAGAGTCTCAGCCGGTAGCCGCCTCTGACACTGGGCTTCACCTTCACACACCCCCAGCACTTCCCGAGTCCTGCCTCCCCTGGCTGCCCTGGGGAGAGCTGGAGCCTAGGCTGTCTCCAACCCCGCACCAGTCTGGGCGGCAGGCGCTCGCTTCTCCAGTGGGGTCCATGCCTGTGCCCCCCCCCCTGCTTGGGCGCTCACCTCTGGCCTGCACCGGGGTCCGGGACTCGTCTCCCGAGTTCTCCCGAGGCGCTGGAGCGCCTCCTTTCTCTCCCGGGACTCCGCCTCTCCCCCGCCTCTTCCCGCCCTCCCCACCCCAAACCCCAACTCCCCAGCTCCATGGCGCCTCCGGGATGCAACTCCCCTTTTCCGCACACTCGGGCAGCGGTGCCCACACCCAGAAACAGCCCTCTTGGGGGCGCTCGGCTCCTCCGGGATCCGCGCGGGCATTCACAGCAGGGGGTGGGGACCCGGAGCCCCCGCCTACCTCCCACCCGCCCTCGCAGCCCCTGGGGAAGGCGCGGTGACTGGCTACTGTCATCCTCCTTCAGGTGCCGGTTGCCCAGGGCGCTGACCTTTGCCGCTGAAGCTGTACCTGAGGCTGCAGCCAAGTTCCCGTGCTGTAACTCCTCCAGTTAGCAACTCCTCCTGCTACACTCCTCCCCCCCTCCCCTCCTCCTCTTCCTCCTCTCCCTGCTCCACCCCTCCCCCTCCTCCTCCTCATCTCAGCATTTGCCGAGAGCTCTGGAGCAGAGGAGGGGGCTCAGGAGCAAGGCCATCCCTCCCTCCTCCTCCCCAGCAGTGACCGCTGCCAAGTCCTGTCACTGGGGAAAGGACAGGGCGGAGGAGGGGGCAAAGGTGGACTGAGAAAAAAAAAAGAAATATGGGTGGAGGGCATAGGAGGTGGAGAGGTGGGGCAATTCTCCCTGGGCCATGGAAGTTTTTCAGTATCTCTCCACCAAATTAAAAGTAATAAAAAAATTTTAAAAAAACTCATAAGGAGAAAAAGAACTTCTGAAGCCATCAACATTTTTCTTTTTCTTTAGTCTCCACCTTAGAACCTAAAACATTTTATGCTACTATCATCATCCAATGATGGTTCTGCAGGCTTATGGGGGAAAGGCATTTTAAAATTTTTAAAAATCTTTCTGGATGATTTGCACTTATTCTTTTATTAATTATGATTTTTTTCTAGTCTATCCTAAACATGATTTTAATATTGTCAATTTTCCTTATGTGTCTCAACAAATCATTTTTTCCTCCATTAAAATCATTAGTATTCATTCAAAGAATTCTTTTTTATATATATTTATTTATTTATTTATTTTAGTTCTCGGCAGACACAACATCTTTGTTTGTATGTGGTGCTGAGGACCGAACCCGGGCCGCACGCATGCCAGGCGAGCCTGCTACCGCTTGAGCCACATCCCCAGCCCTCAAAGAATTCTTTTTTGTTATTTAAAAAAATTATATTTCCCATGAACTGAAAGCATCTCCTGTTAATACTCTATCCTGAGAACATAGTGACCTAAGAAAAGAAAAAAAAAAAAAGACCTTTGTAAAGAAACTCAAATAAAAACTATTTAATTCAATAATACTTTGCATCTACCTATACTTGGAAACTAATCTTTAATCTTTAACTAAGAAGTCAAAATGTGAAACTTTGTATTAAGGACTATCTAATTTAAGATCTTGGATCTGCTGACAATGGTGTCAAAATGTGAAAAGAAGCACACCTAAAACTGCTGAGTCCAGCAATTAAAAATATGAGAGGATAGCAGGCCCTCAATATCAAAGAAAAAAGGGGTCAGAAGCTTCTGATAGAGTGCTTTTCTATTATGTGTGAGGTACTGGTTGAACACTCAGCAGCACATTAAAAAAAAACAACAAAGAAACAAACTAATAATGATATTATATCCATCTACAGCAACAAATAAAAATTCAAGAAAAAAAGGACTGTCTTAGACTTGTGTGTACCCTCACTACTTGTGTACCCATAAATATATATATATATATATATATATATATATATATATATATATATATATATATATATAGAGAGAGAGAGAGAGAGAGAGAGAGTATAAATTTTTCCTTTGATGCTTTTTCAAGAAACTTATATTACAGGTGTGCATCACAATTCTACAATCCCCCTACCCTTCTTCTTATTATTATTATTTTGAGTGGCTGTGAATTGCATTAAATGCCTTGGGTTGATTTACTTTGAGGGAGAATTTCCTTCCAATAGTAGGACCTAACCCAGACAGAAGTGCATTGACATTTATCACTGTATATAAGGTTAAAGCAATTTGTGAATAAATATGTATACATTTTTATTGATGGAAATGATATCACAGTTAGTTTAAAATTTTATTTAACTTTTCTGTTCACTGATCTTATGAAAAACAGCTTGAGGTTTAAACTCATTAGCAATTTCCTTAGGCATCATGGTCCCCATATCTCTCACCCCTAAAAAGAGACTCACAAGTATAATTTTAAAGTTTTTTCTATTCAAATTAAAAATGAAAAACAAAAGTCAGCCACAGTGACATACACCTGTAATCCAAGTGGCTCAGGATGTGTTTGCAGGAGAACTCTGAGTTCAATGTTACCTTCAGCAAAAAGTAAGGCACTAAGAAACTCAGTAAGACCGTGTCCTTAAATGAAAAAGAAGGAGGAGGAGGAAGAGGAGGAGGAAAAGGAGGAGAAGGAGAAGAAAATAAGAGCTTAAACAAATTGTAACTAAAAACTCTATATTCAATATATTATCATGGCTTGACACTATGAATTTATTAATACATACATGCACTTTTGGAAAACCATCTTAATATTCACTATTTACCTGAAGTCTCAGGCATATCTCAGTTTACTGTATCCAAATTTCACATTGAGAGCTATGGATTCATTCACATCAGCAAGATGAAAGGCCTGAACCACTCATTTTTTATGTCCTAGGTGATGGAATACACTTCCTGGACATATTCTCAACAGGGCCAAAGAACAGGAGAGACAGTGCACATTGAGACAGCTGGCAGCTCTAACCCAGAACTGTACAAATGTGGGCATTATTTCTCACTAGATTCTAAGAACAGATTCATTCCCATTTCAGATCCCACATGGTAAACATAAAGAATTGGTGTCACAGGAGGTGGATGGTGCCAGGTCTTCAAATTTTTCAGTAGCCCAGACTCTACAATATAAATGCATTAAAGGGAAACTTATTTGCAATTTTACCTTGACCCTAGAGGCAGGATTGAAATATTTGGCTTTTATAATTGTGCTAATATTCATACCAAATTTATAAGGTAGTGGGAGAATATTTTCACAATTAAAGGCATATATGTCTATAAATATTTTTCTATAGTTCAATACAGATTATTAAGAGAGTCAACAAAATTTTAATGAAGAAAAAATAAATCACTGTCTATAAGATGACTGCTGTTTTTCATACAACCTCTGCACATCATGTGATTGAATCCTGGCATCCAGCCTATAGTGAATAAATTAACTAATTATCTGTCACTAATTAACTCATTCTAAAACTTATTAGCTCATATTTGGGATGGTCATCAATTTAGGCTCAGTTCACCTGGAATCTTTGCTGCATATAATTAGCTGATGGTTGGTAAATACACTGAACTTTAGAGTGTAATCTGGCTGCCAATAAAACACCCTGATGTTTTTCCCAAAATAAGTCATGATTAAAAAAGTATTGTGGGCTTGTTCTCATGGAGGTAACAGTGTTCTGAAAGCAAAAACAAAAACATTCAAATGTTTCTTGACCAGATACCTGACTAATACTCTCATAGCAAACAGCATTACATAATTCATAAAAAAATAATAACAGACCATATTCAAAGTTTTGGAAACACATTCTCCATTTTTCTAGAGTAGGAGTAAAAACATATCATCTACTTTCTGTATATAAATGAAGCTGAAGAATTGTTACATGTTGGCATTTATGATTATTGTACCTTTTATAATAGATGAGGTTCACATAGGTGTTCAGTGTGAAAGAATATTTGCTAAGTCTCACAAGAATATTTTCTAAGTAACTTTACTTGAATTCAGTTTCAACTTTACCTTATCTCAAAGCCAAAACTCCCCTCCTCTAGGTTACATGAGTTATCAATATTTTCATATTCTCTTGGATGTTAGATAGTGACACTTATTCAAAAGAGCAGAATTTTTGTTTCTTTTGTATCAGAGATCTTACCCAGGGGCATTTAAGCACAATGTCACACCTCCAGCCCCATTTTATTTTATTTTATTTTTTGTACCAGGGATTGAAGCCAGGGGCACTTAACCCTGGGCCACATCCCCAGCCCTATTTTGTATTATACTTAGATACAGAGTCTCACTGAGTTGTCTAGGGTCTCACTTTGGCTGAGGGTGACTTTGAATTTACCATCTTCTTGCCTCATTTTCCCATCCTTCTGGGATTATGGTTGTGTGCACCTTGACCAACGCAGTCGTCGTTTTGTTTGTTTGTTTGTTTGCTTGCTTTAGTATTTATTCAGTTGCTGAAGCTGTCCTTGAATGTGAAATCTCCCTGCCTAAATCTTCTGAGTCACTGAAATTACAGAAACACATCACCATACCGGTTCTTTTCAGTTCATACAAAGGCAGAATTGGGATGTCAAACAGAAAGAGAGCTGTTAAAATCACCCCATCTTAAATGGTGTCTTATTTCCTAATATTTAAACATTGGACTTGTTTTGACACATAATGAGGAAATATTATTTTAATCAGGAGACTGTTGATTCTCATT